CCGCGGCCCGACCGTTACTCGCCGCCGCTGGCGCTTCCGCCCGCGGCTGTAAAAAAACAAATCCCCACCAGCATGCCTTGCAGGTGCGGGCGGCTGTCGACAGTGACGGCTGGGTTCGTAAATGTGCTCCGTACCGCATCCCGGACGCTGCGTCCGCTCCCTGCCATTTGCCTTGGAGCCGCGAACCAAACAAATACCCCCACCAGCCCATCCAGTAACGATGCCCAGGCGACTGGAGGTGATCAGGGAAGTGAGGGAGCAAACAGAGTAACAAAGGGCTGGGGAACCCGTCTTACCCAAGACGGCGAGGATGGAGGAGGAATCGGAGGAGGACGAGGAGGAGGAGGAGGAGGAATTGAATGAGGAGGAGGAGGGGGAGCGGGAGGAGGGAGGAGGAGCAATAGGCGGATGATGATGATGATGATGATGATGATGATGATGATGATGATGATGATGATGATGATGATGATGATGATGATGATGATGAGGAGGAGGAGGAGGAGGAGGAGGAGGAGGAGGAGGAGGAGGAGGAGGAGGAGGAGGAGGAGCAGGACGATAATGAGGAGGATGATGAGGAGAAGGGCGAGCAGAATGGCCAGAGGCCTCTTGGATGCCTCTCGGAGTCTCTTCGGATGTCTCTTGGGAGCGTCCTGAAACGCGTCTTGGGAGCGTCTTGGCGGTCCCAGAGGCCTCTTGGGGCGTCTTGGGTGCCTCGGGGAGCCTCTTGGGGACCTTTTGGGGCCATCTTGGGGCCATCTTGGGGCCATCTTGGCGCCTCTTGGGGCCTCCTGGGCGCCTCTTGGGGCCATCTTGGAGGCGATCGATCAAAGAAGAGGGTGGGGTTAATTCGCCCCGCCCCTCTAGATACTCTAAAATCGCCTCTTGGGCTCATCTTGAGGTGCTCTTGGAGCGCTCTTGGGCGCTCTTGGGGCCGTCTTGAGGCTCTCTTGGGCCCCTCTTGGGGCCATCTTGGGCCCTCTTGGAGCCATCTTGAGGCCTCGGAAGGCCATCGGAAGCGAAAAGGCGAGAAAGCACAATTCATTGGTTTTCCTTAGGTTTTTGAAGGATTTTGGCCTCTTGGGGGGTCTCCTTGGAAGTCTCGGAGGCCTCTTGGAGTCGTCTTGGGGCGATCTTGGGGCCTCTTGGAGCATCTGGGGAGCCATCTTGAGGCATCTTGGGCTATCTCGAAGCATCTTGGAGGTCATCTTGGCCTCTCCGAGGCCCTCTTGGAGCCGTCTTGGGCCATCTTGGACGCTCCAACGCGTCGCTGAACCCCCCGTCCAGGTCCAGGGGAGGGGGTTAGGGGGAGGGGTAAACCCCTCCCCGAAGGGGAAGGAGGGAAGATGGAAGAGGAAACTCCCTAAACCACTTACGCCCAGAGGGCTGGTGGGATTTAAGGGGCTGTGCCTGGCTGCCAGACCAGCCGAAGTGAGTGCAGCAAAGATTCGCAACGGACAGCCAGGCGCGTGGCAGCCCTACATGCTGCCACTAAGACACCAGAGCGGCGTAGACAACAAACAGCAATGGAGTGCGCCGCTGAGCAGATTGGTAGTGTCCGCGGTCGTGCGAGCAGATGGGTAAGGTGTGGGCCCGCGATCCCAAATCGACCGTAGTGATGCACGCACGCACGCGCGCGCACACACCCGCGCAAACACGCAAACACGCACGCACGCACGCGCGCACGCGCACGCGCGCGCGCACACGCGCACGCGCACGCAGGCGCACGCGCGCAAGTGCACACGCACGCGCGCGCGCGCATGCACGCACATGTGCACGCGCATGCGCGCGCGCACCGCGCACGCGCGCGCGCGCACGCACTCGCGCGAGCACACGCACACGCACGTGCGCGCGCACACGCACGCGCACACGTATACGCACACGCTCACGCACGCGCGCACGCACGCGCACGCGCAGGCGCACGCGTTCGCGCGCGCGCGCACGCGCACGCGCACGCGCGCGCATACGCACACGCACACGAACACGCACACGCTCACGCACATGCACACGCACACGCTCACGCTCACGCGCGCGCGCACGCACGCGCACACTCGCAAGCGCACGCGCACGCACGCGCACACGCACGCGCACACGAACACGCACACGCTCACGCACACGCACAAGTGCACGCACACGCACGCGCACACGCACGCGCACACGCACTAGCACACGCGCGCTAGCACACGCGCACGCGCACGCACACGCGCACGCCCGTGCACACGCACATGCACACGCACATGCACACACATTTAATAGTTATGATTTGTGGCCTTCGGTCTATCCGGCCACCGTGCGTGGGTTGAGGGTCAGAGTCCTTTGGGATGCTTCATGGGATCTCTTGGGGGCGCTCTCCGAGGGCTGTTGGGGATACTCTTGGGGCTTCTTGGGAGCTTCTGGGGGGGCCCCTAGGGAGCTTGTTGGAGGCCTGTTAGGCCTTCCTGGGGGCGTCTTGGGGGCCTCTTAGGGGCTCTTGGTGGCGGCCTCTTGGCGGCCTCTTGAGGCTTCCTGGGGGCCTTCCGGAGCCGAGAGCCTCGAAATGTCCATTCAGGTCTTCTGCCGTTTTGGAGCCATCTTGGGCCGTTTTGGGACCCTCTTGGAGGCTTCTGGTCGTCTTGGAGCGATCTTGGGGGCCTCTTGGGCCTTCCTGGAGCGTGGGGAAGTTGAAAAGGCGAGAACGCCCACAATTTTCAAACTTTAACAAAATCAATGATTCTTGCCTCTTGGGATGCACTTTGGAGGCCTCGTGGGGCGTCTTGGGGGCATCTTCGGCTGTCTGTCATCCTGGGCGTCTTGGACCGACCTTTCGACGACTCGGGACCCCCTTCGGCCGTTTTTGGGCCTCTTAAGGCCCTCTTGGCTCGTCTTGGGGCTCTCTGGGCGTCCCAAGAGCTCAGGTGACACACCGTGGCCGGGCGCAGGAACGCCTGGGACAGCTTGGAAACTGGGGGTCTGGGTTCCTCGGAGCCCTAAGGAACCACGGGCCTGTGCCTCGCAGAGCTGCGTGGGCCTATGGGGCAGGGCACCCCACCATGTGTTCAAGGCATGGAGGCGGATGCACACAACACACACACACTGTACATATGGTAGGTCATGATATATTATGTTGTGGTATGACATGATATGACTTGTCATGCATTGGCATGCCATGATCTGATCTGACATGATATGGTATGGCATGATATGTTATGGTGTGATTTGACATGATATGATACGATGTGGCATGACATGATTTGATGTGATATGATAGGATGCCGTAAACATGGTACTGATGAGAAGAGCAGGAGGAGGAGGAGGAGGAGGAGGAGGAGGAGGAGGAGGAGGAGGAATAGCTAGAGAGGGGATTACCGATGCAGGGTGGTTGTGGCACACGTATCAGAAAGGTAGCCCAGCTCGTATGGTTTATTGGCGCCAGAACGAAGTGTCCTTCCAAGGCCAAGTCGTTGCGCCAAATCTTGGTTTTGACTATGTTGAGAATGCATGTTGGTGCATCACTTGGGTGTTTAATCTTAGACTACTAATTTGAAGCATGTAGCTTACTGTCGCGCCTCGATAACTTGAAGCTTAAGACGAATTGGGGAGGGCCTGGGGTTGAGATGGCTTCGGAGAGCTTCTGCCAGGCTCCAGCGCGATCCTGGCGTGTTTCTGAGTGATCCCAGGGTCTGGAGAGGTTTCTCAAGGCATCGGAAGGCTCCGGGGATTCATGGAGGTTTCCTGAACGGATTACGGGCCGCTGGAAGGTTCCTCGAAGAATTCCAGCGTCTATGGAGGGTTCTGGAGGGGTTTCAGAGGGCTCCCGTGGGCCCCTGGGAGGTTGCGGAAGCGCCCAGAGGGCGCCTGGAAGGTTCCAGGGGCGGGTGGAGGGTTTCTGGAAGGGTGCGGGCATCCTTCGAGGGTTTTTCGGCATTTCTAGGGTGCCCCCGACTGCCTTTTGGAAGGTTCCAGGGGTCCGAAGATGTTTCCTGGAATGTTCGAGGGTCCCTCGGAGGGTTCCTGGAAGGGTTCTGGCGTTTCTGCATGGTTGTTGGAGGGTTCCAGAGGGCACCCGAATTTCTCGTCCCGCTCTTATTGTTCTTGCTCATCGTCGTCGTCCTTTTCTCCCCGAACCTTGGAATGTTCCAGGGGCTTCCGGAGGGCCGCGGGAGGATCCGGTGGCGCTATGGGATCAGTGGAAGTTTCGATGGCCCCGTGCCCCCTGCGAAGAGTTCCCAGCAAGGTTCCAGGGAGGCCCTGGAGAGTTCCTGCAGGGGTCCAGAGGGTCTCTGGAGGCCCTGCACATTTCCTGCAGGGCCCCAAGGGTCCCTGGAGGGTTCCTGGAGGATTCCGGACCCCTTCTGCGGGCATCCCGGAGAGTTGCAGGCGCGCTCAAAAGTGTGTTGAGGTGTTCCATTCTTCTGTGAAGGGTACGCGGCGGTGAACGCGGGTCCCTCGCTCAGTAGGTTTTCTGGGAGATGTCAGGGGAGGTTTGGCTGATTCCTGGAGGAGTCCGCAGTTGCTTGGGCGCTTCCTGGAAGAGGAGTCAGGGGGTTCCAGAGTTGCCAGAGGCCAGATAGGGGTTCTTGGAAACTCCCAAGAGGGTTCCTGGAAGGTCCCATGGCTCCCTGGAGGGCTGCTGGAAGGTTCCAGGGCCCGCCCCAAGAGCTCCTGCAAGGTCCGAGTGTTCCACAGTGGGTTCCCTGCGGGCTCCAGGGCCCACCGACTTCTCTGGAAGGTCTCAGAGGGCGGCCCGAGAGCTCTCTTTGGAAGATTCCTAAGAGGTTCCAGGAGCACCCAGGGGATTTGGCACGTCCCAGCGGCGCCTGCACGTTCCACCATATTCACATGTTTTGCTCATTTGCGAGGGTAGCAGTGCTGATCTTGATGCTTTGGTGGTGTATAGTTTCGAACTGGTTCGCGGGGTGGAGTCAACCACCAGTATAACTGGGTTCGTATGATGCCAGTGTCAAGCTTGTTGTATAACATGCTTGTGCTTTGGGCATTTCCTCGATCTCATGCATTCTTTGCAGGCTCCGACTGCTGGAGGCGAGTGGTGGTCTTACGTTTCTGGCCCGTGCACGGCTAGCGAAGGGTGCGTAGCCTCCCCCAACTACCCGCTAGCATATTCCAACGACCATGTGTGCTATATTGGTCTCGCTGCTTCATCCGCGCAGATCGAGGTGACCACCTTTGACACAGAGTCTTAGCCAGTTGCCTGCGGCAAGTCCCGCCGCCGTGCCAGCCCAGCATTTGGGGTGGCGTTTTTTCGAGGGTACGCGGCAGGCCGTTACGCGTGACACTTCGTGCCCCCAGGCTTGGGAGAACCGTGATCAGGATGATGATGATGATGATGATGATGATGATGATGATGATGATGATGATGATGATGATGATGATGAGGTTGAGGTTGAGGTTGATGATGATGATGATGATGATGGTGGTGGTGGTGGTGATGATGATGACGACGACGAGGATTGTCATGATGGTAATGATGGCGACGATGACGATGATGATGCTGCTGATGACGATGATGATGAGGAAAGAGGACGACGGTGACGGCGACGACGATGACGATGTTTCTGTTATTGTTGTTGTTGATGTTGTTGTAGTTGTTGGTGTCGTCGTTGTGTCTGTTGTTGGTGACGATGGTAATGATGCTGATGACGATGCTGTTGATGATGTTGATGATGATGCTTCTGATGCTGATTACGATGTTGATGCTGCTGCTGATGATCATGCTTCTGATCATGCGGATGATGCTGATTATGATGATGTTGATATTGCTCATGACGATGTTGCGGGTGATGATAGAGGTGACTATGATGTTGCTGATGATGATGCTCATGTATGATGATGATTACCGTGATGATGATGATGTTGTTGATGATGATGCCAACGATAATGATGATGAGGATTACTACGATGATGATGCTGATGGTGATGATGACGACAGTGGTGACGCTGCTGCAAATTATGATCGCGTTTGTGTTGATGAGGATGGTGACGACGATGACGACGAGGATGACGATTGCGACGATGATGATGATGATGATGATGCTGATGATGATGATGCTGCTGATGATGATGATGATGATGCTGATGCTGATCATGCTGAAGATGATGACATTGTTATTGTTGCTTAATGATGGTGACGATCACCATTTAGGCAATGATGACGCGGCTGTTGTTGCAGACGATGATGATGATGGTGGTGGTGGTTGTGATGATGTGAATGACCATGATGATGATGCCGATGCTGATGACAACGACGACGATTACGATGACGATGGCGATGATGATGATGATGATGATGATGATGATGATGATGATGATGATGATGATGATGATGATGATGGTGGTGATGATGTTGATGACGATCATCATAATGATGATGAGCATGAGGGTGATGATAATTATGATGATGCATATTATGCTGATTATGCTGCTGATGATGCTGAGGAGACCATGATGATGCTGCTGCTGATAACCATGATGATGCTGCCTCTGCTGGTAATGGTGATGATGATGATGCTGCTGATGATGATGATGATGATGCTGATGATGATGATGATGAGGAGGAGGAGGAGGAGGAGAAGGCGGGGTAGGCGGAGGACGAGTTCTTAGTTCTCAAGCCCTTCGAGACCGGCTTCGGGTACCTATACGACCGCCCTGCGGGCGATAAGGAGGTTGGGGGGGAATTGAGATCAAATGCCCACCCTGACTGACCTCCAGCCTGTCACCTTGATCTCCTCTCTCTCTTTCTCTCTGTCTCTCTCTCTCTCTGTCTCTCTCTCTCTCGCGCCCTCTCTCTCTCTCTCTCCCTCTCTATCAGAGTCTCCCTCCACCACAATGATGATCGCGATGACGATGAGATCCCTCCCGCGCCGCGGGAGACGCCATGGCAGGCGGACGGAGGGACGCCATGGGGCGGCTTCCGAGAGGCAAGGGCGCCGAACGCTCGAGCCTAGCAGTCTGCTGCGATCGCGCCCAGGCGCTGACAAAAATGAATTGATGGATTGGGTTGGGTGCGCTGATACGTGGAGGCGGCCGCCCCTGTGGCCGTTGGAACGCCGGGTGCCCGTGGCGCAAAGCTGGCAGGGCCTGGCCCGCGCTGCGGGCTGGCACGCCTGCTCTTCTTGGGGGCAGGGGGCCCGCTGGAGTTAGCACGGACGCCGCCGGAGCTGGCAGCGCCTGCTCCTTCGCTGGCGTCGGCGCCTTGCTCCAGCGGCAAGAGGAGGTCCTCGGGCACGCCCTGACCCGCCCGGGCCACCGCGCGGCGGCAGTAGTCCCTGACGTGCTCCTCGCCTCTGCAGACTTCGAGCAGGAAGCGCCACGCCTGGGCGACCAGGTGCTGGGGCGGGTTCGTGAAGCAGGCCGTCACAGGGAACGCCCGCCTTCCATTTCCTTCATGTGCTTGTTGCGCGTCAGCTCGAACACGAGCGGTGTGCTGGCGGCGCCGTGCGCGTGCGCGAGCGCGTTCTTTTCCATGTAGTGGTCGCCCACGTTGTCCATGTCCGACTTGCGGTTCTGCCATTTCGCCTGCGAGGTTGCTCCCACGCGCCGGAACGACATCGAGCTGGCAGCGCCTGGCTCCGAGCGTAGCGGGCTGGCAGCGCCTGGCCCTTGCACGCCCGTAGGCGAACCGACTCGTCCAGGAATGTCGCCACCCGCGCCCCCGTCCGCCGCCCCCCCCCCCCCCCCCCCTGGCGGCCAAGTGTGGGGGAGGACCCCCCCCCGACGCCGGGGTAACGCCAGGCGCATGTGCAAGCGCGTCGTCGAACTCCTGGCCCGTCGGGGTGTGCCCCGGGGCCAGCGCGACGAAGCCGGCCAAAGAGTGCGGAGAGTATTCGAACCGTTGCGCTTCCCTGCGCGACCCTGGGTAGGCCGCGCCAGTCAGGGCTGGCAGAGCCCGGCCCGCGCCGCCGCCCCCGGGGCTGGCAGCGCCTGGCCCCAGGGGCGCCGCGCGGAGAATGCGCGCCGCGGGAGACGCCGCGGCATGCGGACGGAGGGGCGCCGTGGGGCGGCTTCCGAAAGGCGAGGGCGCCGATCGTTCGAGCCTCGTAGTCTGCCGCGATCGCGCCCAGGCGCCGACAGGAATGAATGTATGGATTGGGTTGGGTGGATTGGATTGGATGGGATAAGATGGGTGGGATGAGATAAGATGGTTGGATGGTAAGAAATGGATTGGATAAGATACGATAGAATGGATTGGTCCGCCTCAGGCGCAGAAACACATGAATGGATGGATTGGGCTGGGTGGACTTGAATGGGTGGGATACGATAAGATGGGGCACTATGGGTTGGATCGGATAGCATGGGTTGGATGGGGCAAGATGGATTGGATAAGATAAGCTGGATTGGACGATAAAGCCCGCCGCAAGCGCCGAGACCGCTGAATTGATGGATTGGGTTGGGTGGGTTGGATTGGATGGGATAGGATGGATTTGGCAAGATCAGATGGGTTGAATTGGAAGAAATGGATTGGAAACTATAAGATGGATTGGATTGGCCCACCGCGGGCGCAGAAACAGATGAATTGATGGGTCGGGTTGGGTGGATTGGATTGGGTGGGGTAAGACAAGATGGGGCAATATGAGTTGGATAAGATAAGATGGATTGGTTTGGACAAGATGGATTGGATAATATAAGCTGGATTGGATGAGAATGCCTGCCGGAGGCGCCGAAAACAACGAGTTATCGAATTAGCGACATGCGTTGGCGCCGGGGCGCCCGGGGCACCCAGGGCACCCGGGCCGCCGCCTGGCCCAATTGGGGCACCTCCCGGCCACCGGCGGACGGGGGCGGACTTTCGCTCCTACTGACGCCTGGGGCACCCAGGACCGCCCGGCCCAATTGGGGCACTTCCCAGCCGCCAGCGGATGGGAACGGACTTTCGCCTTCGGCCCAGCTACAGGGGGATCATGCGCAGCTTCGCCTCGCCCGCGCGCGCGACGCGATCGCGGAACCGAAGCCGATTTCCCTGTGGGGGTCTCCGTTTCGCTGCGTTCTCACCCCCCAACCTCCGACCTGGGTGCATCATTTTTGCCTCGGGCTGGGGCTCGATAGACATTGCTCCGCGACCCATTTCGTCATTTCGCCTAGCGGCAACTGTTCTGCTGCCAACATCGCGTAAATCAGATCACTTGGAAAAGCTTCTGCCCCCCCAGCGCGGAGGCGAAATGGCGAGCGACCGCGCGGCGACGAAGAGGGGGGGGCCTATCGCCCGAGCCAGGCGAGGGAGGCAGAGAAGAGGAGAGGCAAAGAGACAGGCGGCGGGCGGCAGGCTGATGGCACTGATCGACTACGCGTGAGAGTGACCTTTCGCGAGAGTGGCCTTCGGCCCCATGGTTTCCCCCGATCGCCGAACGCGGCGCGCTAGTGGCGTCTCGCGCGCCTGTGTCTGGCCCCCCCCGCGGCCCCCCAAGGCCGCCGCGCCAAGGGTCCCTCTTGCCCAGAGCGCTCTTGTGTGTAGCCGAACTGAAGATGCCCAGCACGGTGGCGTGGCCGACTGGTCTCAGATGAGATGCGGGATGTCGTGTGACAAGCAGCGCTGCGAAGGAGAAGATGAGGGGCCCCCGCCAAGTCGCGAAGTCAAGAAATGCCCGGCTTTGGTGGCCAGGGTCAGGTTTGTGGCGCAAGACCAGCCATGCATGTAATTCACAGTCAAGGAGCTTGCGCGCCTTATGTCAGCCTCAACCCGAGGGGCGTGGAACCGCCGGACAAAACTGTGCAAGTACCTCAACAGCCAGGAACGGTGTGGGTATCAGTTTTTGTATCGAGAACGTCCTATCGCTCTGGCCGTATATACTGACACCGATTATGCTGGATGCAAGAAAATACGTATGCCAATAAGTGTAGGGACAGCAATGTGGGGATCACATGGGATAAAGTCGCGCAGCTCGACGCAGAGTGTAGCGGCGTTGTCTTCTGGGGGAACATAATATTACGGAATGGTAAAAAGGCGGCCCAGTGGCTTTAGGGATGCAAGCAGTTTTCGAAGACTTCCATGTTGATTGTGGCATCTTGTTTAAAAGCAGTGCCAGCTCAGCCATGGCCATTGCAATTTGGGGATGACCAGGACAAGTTAGACACATCGAGGTGGGTCAGTTTTGGTTGCGAGAGAAGGTGCAGAGAGGAGGCATCAAAGTGATCAAAGTAGGAACTCATGAAGACCATGCAGGTGCTTCAACGAAATACTGGGCAGAGAGCACCTTCAAATATATGCGAGGTGACGAACCATATATTGTAAATGGAAGACCGGATCTGGCGCCCGCAACTGAGTGTCAGCTGAACGCATCTCCCGGTTATCATCGTGCGCCGCCTTGCCTGAGACTTGAGCTCAGCACGCATGGGACCCAGGTGTTCGTCTACGCGACGTAGACCTCAACTACCTGAACTTGTTAGTCGTCTTGCACGACTTGGTGTTTGCGTCGCCTATCTATAGTGTCGCTTGTTTGGAAGCCCCTGTGCGTTTCACGCCCGAGTCAGAGTCGCCTTCTGCGCGTGCCAGTTATGATTGTAGTCCTGGTGGTACGCGTTCGCATCTTTCAAGGTGTAGATATGCTATCTGCATCTTGCCCCGTATTTTTCACATTAGCGGTTTGCTTCCGATTAGAGTCGCGTCTGTTGCTGTGCTCTTGCGTGTCGCTTTACGGCGAACGCAGACCCATGGGGGTGCGATCATGTCGCATCCTCGCGCCTGCAGGAGTTCCCAATGATACGTCGCGTTCGGCAGCATGCTGTTTCAGGATTCCTGGAAACTCGGTATTGCTCCCGCCAGCGGCGTTTGGCTCAAGCAGAGGAAGGCCTCCACGTTTATCATTTTTCGTTTTCCACTTCTGGTGGAGCTTTCATGGAGTTCATTTGGGTCGTTTTGGTGCTGTCCTTGCCTCCTGTTGGGCAGTTTGGGACTTGGGCCGTCAAGGAAGTTTCGGGTCCTTCGGGAAGCCCTCTTGTGACGTTTCGGGGCCGTCATGGATGCGTCTTGGGCCATCGTGGACCCCTCTCGGGGGCCTCGGGCCGTCTTGGGGCCATTATGGCGGCACTTTGGGCCGTCTTGAGCTGACGGAAGCCCGAAACAAGGCGAATGCCCTTAAAACGTTGATGGGACATCGCTGGCCTTTTTGGAGGCATTTTGGTCCGCCTTTCGGCTGTATTTGGCCGTCTTCGAGGCATGTTGGGCCATCTTGGCGGCCGCGGTTGCCTGCCCGAACCGTCTTGAAGCTTAGGACGCGGAGCCATTGTTTTTTTCCGAAGGATTTTGGTTCGGAGAGAGGGAACCCATGTTTTTGAGCAGCGGGTCGTGGCCTCGGGGGCGGGGGGGGGGCGATGCGCGAGACACCGAGACCATCTGCAGGTAGAGTGTGTGGGGGGGTTCTTCAGAAAATGCTGAGGCCCTGCCAGACAAATATTGACATTGTGCCGCGCCTCCAGTCGGCGGTGCGCCTGCGGGTTAAGTGAGAGGGGGTAGGCGTTCTCAGACAGCGGCGGGGCTTCTCAGAAACCCTTGGGCCTTCAGAGCAGTTTTTGGTGTCTTCGGAGACGGCTTAAAACAATGTTTGAGAAAGCTGGAGGCCTTCCGAGCCTTTTGAAAAAAGGCCCGCTCTTCTCACTTCCCCCCCCTGGGCTCGCCGCCGATCAACGTGCAAGGGCTCGTACGGCGGATTTTGATTACATGATTCTTAACGGGTATTCTTACAGTGGTTCCGGCGCGCTCTCGGACTCGCAAGTTGTCACAGCAACCATCGTGTGGACCTCCGACTACTGCTGCGCTGCCTCCGGCTGGCAGTTTTGCGCGGCGCAGGCCCGCTCCCGTCCGTCCGTCGTGCCCCCCCCGCGGCTGCGGAGAAGCAGCCCCCTGCGGACCTCACCTCCTGGTCCCCCTCCTCCTCCTCCTCCTCCTCCTCCTCGTCCTCGTCCTCTTCCTCCTCGTCGTCCGCCTCCTCCTCCTCTTCCTCCGCCTCCCCAGCCTCCTCGTCCTCCTAGTCCTCCTCCTTGTCGCCTCCTCCCGGATGAGGAGGACCTCCTCCTCGTCCTCCTCCTCCACTTCCTGTTCTGGAGGTCTGTGGAGGTTCCCAAGGGTCTCCATGGGTCCCGGAGGCTTCTGGAGGTTCCCAGAGGCCTCTTGAAGCTCGCGGAAGTTGAAGGAGTGTGCAACATCTGGATTCTCTTCTTCCCCCTCTTCCCCTCTCCTCCCTTGATATGCAACTCCTGGAAGGTTGAATTCATCATCAGCGTTCGTTTTTCTGTGGTCGAACCTGCCTAATCCTACTCAGTCCGCCCGTCTATTCCAGCTTAACCCCCCGACTTAATCCGGCCTCATCGGGCCTAGTGGCCCTTCAGCCGAGATGAATAATCCACAGTCGTTGCTAACCTCCCCTCCCCTCCCCTCCCCTCCCCTCCCCTTCCCTTCCCTCCTTCATTCATCTGCCCCACTCTGGTGCCCCCGAGAAAGCACGCCGGGGCCCTGCCGTCGCGCCGCTGTCGCCAGGGTGAGGCGCAGGGTGCCCCAGAGTGGGCCTCGTTCTCGGGTGATTCCCGCTGGCAGGGTACCTCTCCCCCAGCCGCTTGGCGGGGTGGAGATGATCTCGCCGGCTAGGTGCCTCTTTCCCAACCCGATGGGGGGGGGCGCAGAAACCAGCAGGGAAGTTTTGGCCGGCGGAGAATTATGTGTCATATTCCCGAAGCAGTGGTGTTTGCATTCAGGGGTTCTTATTTCCCTTCCTATGGACTTGGTTGGGTCCGCCGAGGTTTCGCCGCGTCGCCGCCTCGTGACTGCCCCGTTGCCGCCCGCTTGGGGGTTCGCCGAGGTTCCGCCACACACCTTGCACCACATAGCTTCCATCACTCAGCTTGCACCACGAAGCTTGCACCACATAGCTTGCACATCCACAATGCAAATCACTTCTGCTTAGGGTCCACACTGGGCATGTTTGTTTCCGTGATCGGGAACGCCTCGGCTGACGTTGAGGTGTTCCCTCGCGCTACGTCGTCTCGAACAGTTCGGACGATAGCGACAGCGAGGCCGAGGCTGCAACAGCATCGGCGAAGTCTCCCAGCGAGGCCGAGGCCGATGCCGATGCGAAGTCCGAGTCGGACGCGGCGTCGGAAGTGAGGGGCGAATGTGGGAGGCGACATCCAATCGCCTCCCGCTTTCGCGGTTTTGTGGTCGCTAATTGTCCCCCGACCTTGTCGTGAAGTTGCTTGTCGCAAAACCAACGAACCCATCCCAATGGCGGTGCCCACATGCACCCCCCCCAGCTAGCACAGCGTTTCGTGGCCCCTTAGGGAGCTCCACCCAAGGCCCGAGTGGCGGTGTCCACATGCGGCTCCCTCACCCAGCACAGCGTTTCGTGGCCCCATATGGAGCTCCGTGTCTAAATGCTGCTCCCCCACCCAGCACAGCGTTTCGTGGTCCCATAAGGGAGCTCCACCTAAGGCCCCAGTGGCGGTGTCCACATGCGGCTCCGACACCCAAGACCGCGTTTTGTGGCCCCGTGGGGAGGTCCACCAACGGCCCCAGTGGCGGTGTCCACATGCGTCTCCCCCACCCAGCACAGCGTTTCGTGGCCCCACAGGGGGCTCCACCCAAGGCCCCAGTGGCGGTGTCCGCATGCGGCTCTCCCACCCAGCACAGCGTTGCGTGGCCCCACATGGGGGCTCCACCCAAGGCCCCAGTGGCGGTGTCCGCATGCGTCTCCCCCACCCAGCACAGCGTTTCGTGGCCCCACAGGGGGCTCCACCCAAGGCCCCAGTGGCGGTGTCCGCATGCGGCTCTCCCACCCAGCACAGCGTTGCGTGGCCCCACATGGGGGCTCCAACCAAGGCCCCAGTGGCGGTGTCCGCATGCGTCTCCCCCACCCAGCACAGCGTTTCGTGGCCCAGTGGGGGGGTTCCACCGAAGGCCCCAGTGGCGGTGTCCACATGCGTCCCCCCACCCAGCGCAGCGTTTCGTGGCTTGTCCATCTCTGTCTGTCTGTCTGTCTGTCTGTCTCTCTCTCTCTCTCTCTATATATATATATATATCCTTGAGATTCTCATGGGTTTTATCTCGTCCCCCCTCCGTCCTCTAAACGATCTCCTCTAAACCGCCTCTCCGTAGCCGCCTCGGCTCAAGCCGCGGCAGGGTGTGCGCGGTGGAGGTGCTTCTATTAGCCCTGTCAGAGAAGCAAGCGGGGGTCCCCAGAATGACCCCCTCCGAGGAGCCCGCGCCCGAGTGAGCTCCCCCCTCGGCGGCTGGGGGAGCTCACCAGCCCGCGCCGCCGCGGCGGCAGCACGGCGGTGGCGATGTTCGGAGCCGCGGGGGCTGGCGCGGGCGCCCCGCCTGGCCCGCTTGGGTTGGGCCCTGGCGGGGGGCTCCTCGGCGTGGGCGGCGGCGGAGTGCTGGGCGGCTTTCTGGGACTGCCGCCTGGCGTCGGCGCCCTGCTCCCGCCGCCGCCTGCCGGAGTGGCCGCTGGAGCTGCCGCGGCCGCGGGCGGAGCCGCTGCAGGCCCCGCAGCACCAGGAGGCGGAGGCAAGGCAGCGGCGAAGCCCGGGATGGGCGGCAAGGGCGGCATGGGCGGCATGGGTGGCCCAATGGGCGGCATGGGCAAGCCGCCTGCCGCCCCGCCGCCCGCTGCAGGTCGCGGCAGAGGCGCTGGCGCTGGAGCAGGAGCGCCAGCAGCCCTGGGCGGCCCCGTGGTGCCGGGTCTGATCCCAGGGATCCCCGGGGTGGGAGCCCTCGTGGGACCACCCGCTCACGCTGGGGGTGGAGGCGGCCACGCCGTGGCAGGGCAGGCCGCCCACGCGGTGCCAGCCGCCGCCGCGCCTGTGCCCGTGGGCTGGCAGGCAGGCATGCCCGCGGCGGGCGGGGCGCTGCCGCAGTTCGGAGCAGCGTTCGCCCAGCCAGCGGTGGCGGGGGTCGCGGCGGCGGCGCAGCAGGCTGGACCCTGGGTATACGTGCCCATGGCGCCCCAGGCCGTGACCCACGGCCTCCTGGGACTGAGCGCCGGCTGCCGCGTCGAGCTGGTGATGTACGATGCTGCCTGTCAGCCAAGCGGGACGACGACGATGACCGTGACAGGGCTGTATCCGCCTGACGCGGCAGGAGAGTTCGTGGAGTGCACAGTGGAGAGCAGCAGCGACCCTCTCTACCTGCCGATCCTGCAGGGCATCTTCGCGATGGGAAGCAGCGTGGTGCACCTCTGCACTCCAGGGCGTGGCGACTTGCTGTCGCACGACCGCTTGGCCAGGGCGCAACGTGGTGCACTCGGACACGTTGCGCGTGCTGGGGGCGGCCGGGCCTGGAGGCGGTGCCGCTGATGGCGCTGGAGCCACCCCGCCTGGCGCCCTCCCTGCAGGCGGTGCGCCGCCCGCCGCTGACGCTGGACCCGTGGTGCCGGGCAAGAACGCAGGTGGAGCTCCCAAGGGCTCAGGCGGTGCCGACGGTGAGGACGTGGATGGCAGGACGGCCGAGGAGATGAGGAAGATCGTCAAGAGGCTGAAGGAGAAGCTTCAGAGGAAGCGCTCCATGGGCGAGGCGCTGGCCGAGCGCGCCGAGGCTGCGCTGGAGGGCCGCCGCAGCCGCAAGAAGCAGAAGAACAGGGACAAGGATAGCTCCGACAGTGCGAGTTTTGATGAGGCCCCGACCGCTGGTTCCGGCCGCCGAGTGCAGAAGCTGGCCCGCTCCGACCCCGGGGCGCTCATGGCGGCGGGTCTGAAGCAGATCCGAGAGTACTTGGCGCAGCGGGGCGGGGCCGACAACGATGATGAGCTGGATAGGATGGCGTCCAACGTGGTGCAGTATATCACGAGCGTGTGGCACGGCATGCACCCTCAGAACGAGATGGGGGTGCGGAATGTGCGCGAGATGAGGATGATCGGGGAGTGCCTGGACGCCCTCACGAGGGGCGATCTGCCGCAGCTGGGCGACATGCTCATGCAGAGGCTGAAGGCCATCGAGCAGGCCACCAAGGACGGGCACTGGAAGATAGCCGAGCACCTCGAGCTGATCGACTCCACCGACATCGGGCTGGCCAGCAGCGCCGAGGTGTCGGCGGCCGTGGCATCCTACTCGGAGGGTGCGAAGTTGAAGGAGCGCCTCACTCGAGCGGGCGCGAGGAGGCCCCCCTAGGGATTCGGCGAGGGAGAGGGCGGGCGCACCAGGACGCCCTCTCCCGCGACGCCGCCCCCACAGACATCGAGTCCTGGAGCACAGGGGGAGAAGGATGCGCCGACGCCCGGATCGAGGAAGGACAGGTGGAGGGCGAAGCTCTGGCGTGGACGCGGCCGAGGGCGAGGTCGCGGTCGAGGGGACGCTGGCGAGGCAGTGAAGAGAGCGTCGCCGAGCCCGGCAGCCGGGACAGGCGCTGGCGAGAGATCGGGGAGCCCGAGAAGCCCGTCGCCCCACTGGCGGCCAGCACCTGGCTCGATCAGCCCTGGAGTGGATCGCAAGCCGGCCCTTCGGAGACCCTCGAGCCCTGTTCGTCGCGTGAGGTTCGCGGACGACGTGACCGCGGAGGCGAAGGCTGGCAACAAGGGCAAGCCGAAGGGCGACAAAGGGCAGCACCGCGGGACGCCACCTTGGCGCTCGTGGAACCCGAAGGGCAAGGGCGGCACGAAGGGTCAGGCCCGTGGCAAGGGCAAGGACAAGGGCCAGGGCAAGAGGTCCAACAAGAATCGGAAGTAGAATGCATGAGCTTCGAGGGCACTCGAGAGGCGTGTGACTGCACGTCCGACGGCAGCTGGGAGTCCGAGATCACCTTCTCCTCGTACCTTGAGGATGAGTGCAACGGCGCCGCTCATGGCGCAGTCTCGGACGAGCCG